CAGCTGGAAATAAGATGAAATATTCTTGGTTACCTAAAAACTAGGAGTATTTATCTTAATTGATTCTATCTTTGTGATTAAATCAAATAAGATAAATACTTTCCTAAAATTACAATATATCTTATTCTCTAAGATTGTGTGATTTAAGGAAACTAGGTTTTAGGAATCTAAGCTTATATAAACTCATCTTATTTCACATATTTCGTGTGCCTCTCCAGAAATTAAAAAGAGCAATTATTTGAGAGCATATACTTAAGCACTAATCCCATTCATCAAGTCATATACAAGAGCATTCTAGTACTTAAATATTTTCTCTTAATTAGCTTCGTAGAAGTGAGATCAAAGGAGAGTTCTTGATTCTTGTATTGAGTCTTTAACAAAGGGGTTAAAGGCTGGGTGAGTGTTTGTGAGTTCAAACACATTGGGCTTACGAGTGTAAGTCGAGAGCACACTCGGAGTAGAGTGTGGGGTTTGCTGGTTCCCGGAGTAGGGAAACAGCAGAGTGTTCTTTGTCTTTGTTTTTCGGAGTAGATTAATAAAGAACTTAGGATAGGAGGACGTAGGCCTGAGTTGGCTGAACCTCGTTAAATTTGTTGTCTTCTTTATTGCTTATTTATATTCCGCTGCGTACGGGAACCAGCACAACTGGTTCCTCACACATAATCCGAAAAGAAGCAAAATTAGCCAACGATTACTTAACACTCAATTCACCCCCCCCCCCCTCTTGAGTGCCCATTGAACCTTCAGTGGGGGTAAGTTTATGGTGGTTGGAGTGGATAGTCGGAATGTCAATAGGTCTTCGAGTGGATAGTCTGGATTTATGAAGGTGTGGGTGGGGGTGGATGTTCTAGGGTGGTGGTGCACATAACCGAAATAGTATTATAAATACCCAAAGGTTTCATCTTACCAAAAAATGCAAGTTGGTGGTTTTTGTTTGCCAAAATATTTTAGAACTTCGCCCCCCCTTCCCCCCCCCCCCCCTCCTTAAATGAAGCTTTTAAAAGAATTTTTATGATAAATTTTCCAAGATATTATTAAACCTTGTTTAATATTTGGGCTAGCTCATGATAGAAAAAGAAGAATCTCATATTATCAAATCTAGTTAGTACCTTTTTTTTTTTTAGGAATTTGCTCTTTCGTTTGTAGTATTAGAATTTTCAAATGAACTTTTCAAGGAAGTATCCATCACATTAATATCAATTTGAATTCTGATTTTTTCAAGGAAGTCTCCTACCACATCTGACCTTAAAAATCATCTTTCATAAACGATGAATCAAAACATATTTAACTTTTTGTAAAATACTGCCACCGTCTTTTTTAATCTTTACACTTATAATTTTTCTCTGATTCTAAATGTAAAAATTAAAAAGTGAGGGAATACCAATACTTGTGATAATATCGTTTGTATTTTAATATTGTAAGAAATACATGAATACAAATGGACAAAGAATTCAAACAGCAATCTATGTCTCAAAAAACATTGTCACTTCTTTATGGAGTATTTAAAATAACTAGGTACTCGGTGATTTTTTATGACACATTTTTTTTATACCAAGGGCCATTTTAGTTTTCTCATCCTCAAAAAATTATCTTGAATAGCATTTCCAGATTCAAACTACTCAACTATTGTTGTATTACATCCGTTTTTTATTAGTTGACAAGTTTTGACTTTAGCACTATTAACACACTTTCCTTTGATCGTATTTGGTAATTTATACATAATGAAAAATATAGTCAAATGATCTTGTTAGATTCGTCACGATATATATTTTCAAAATATCAATTTTTATAATTTAATTTTTATAATACAAGTGGATCTTGTGTCAATTAAAAAGAAACGGAAGAAGTATAGAATAAAGATAGAATTCTTATAAACAAAAAAAAAAAAAAAAAAAAAAAAAAAAAAAAAAAAAAAAAAAAAAAAAAAACTCTGTATAATATGACCCATTCTAATCACCTATTGCCTTTTGAATATAGTATGTGTCACTTATTGTAATTTTCCTAGTGAAAATGAAATTTCAAAATCTTATTGCATTAAGAAATTAATGACTTATAGAAACTAGAACCGCGGCCATAAAATAAAATTAGATAACTAAAGCAAATAGAAGTATTTTAAATATAAGTCACGTTGCATAGATGTAACAAGACCTGTATTTGATACTTTATTTGGTACGAAATAGTCTAGTCTTAGCTTCAAACTTTTCAAACATTAACGCAATGAAAATGTCAAATGTTGACCTAAGATAATTTAAAAAGACAAAGTACGCGTCAAATATCAAGAAAGTTAAATTGATCATACCAGTACATAGTTTTTTAAATAAACGATGGATGATTAGTAGTAACACACGGAATAATAATATTTTTCAAATACTGTAATAATATTTTCTCCCAAGAACTAAACAATTTTGACTTAAGTTAAAGACTTAGAAAACATAAGATACATTGGGAATTTGAGACCACAAAGAATGGATTTTAAGACTTTGGCATCTTATAAACAAGTATCATACTGATTAATGGATAAGTGCTTCAATCTCCTCGATTTTTTTTCTTTTTTTGACCATTTTTATCTCACAAAAATATGTCAAATATCAAAATAAAAAAGAAACACTCTTGTTAAGATTGGCTTATATTCAAACAAATTTAATAATCATTAAACTTAAGCAGGTCTTTAAATCCAAGAGATCGCTCTCTAGACTCTATGTTATTATATCTCAAAAAAAAAAAAAAAAAAGACTATGTTATTAGGTGTCACATGTTAGGTTGAATTTTAATTCATAACTAAAAATTAAAAAATTCTTCTCTCGAGATTAAGCCCTAATTTATTAAAACTTTCATACAACATAAAATTTCCGGGCTGTCAACTTGTCACCATCATATAGCTCCATATAATTAAAATCAATAAAACAATAGTTAGAAATATTTTCTATCTAAAAATTGAAATAAAAAAAGCAAAAAAAAAAAAAATTAAATAAAGGATAAAAAATTACATTCCAAACAACAAATAAATATAATCCCTCTAATTTTTCTACATGCACAAATTGGGTTTGCATATTTGTCGAGACACAACTTTATTTGACCATCAATATTTTTAATTAGCTATTAGTTAAAATTACTTTTTAGAAAAAGGCTATATATAAGCATTAAATACACTATTGAAAATTGTATTAGGAATTCATGACAAAAACACGCGTAAATCAGTGTAATTAGTGTTCATATTATTATGATTTCCTAACTTTATATGAGTATAATTTTCTAGTGTGTATTTAATGCTATGTGTAACCCTAAGGGCTATGTATAGCCCCGTAAAAAAAAAGGGATATGTAAAGCATTTTCCAAGAAGGAAAAAAAAAAACTCCGTAGAAGTAGACATTGTGAGTTTGTGACTAATCCAACAACATATTATAGAATAACAATTATGGAGTACTCTGTACTTATTATAAATTAGTAAAAAAAGTCAAGTAAAAAATATTACCTAAATAGTGTAAAAATCCTAGTAGTGCATTAAAAAAACAGAGGAATTATAAAACTAGCATAGTATGTGTTTGGGTCCAATTCAGTCCACCTAATTGGGCCCATTCTAAATAACTCATCTCAAACCCAAAGCAAGGTTCCACTCTCCAAAAGCATGCTAAGGCCAATAAAAGCCCAGTCAATGTGGTCGGCCCACTTAACTTCAAAGGCACAACTCTCCTCAATTGAGTCAAGGTATAAAAACCATCAATTACATCCTTTTACATTCATGCAACTAAAGCCTCAAGCACTAAATCTCTTGCATAGCGTTCTCTCTCAATTGAACTGACTTTAGCATCAGAGGGGTCTTACTCAGCAACCACCCCCGAGGCTAGTTTATGTGTTCTTTTCTATGTAGGAAACCCTCGGCTCCAGCATTATTTGGGCCGAGACCAGTCTTCTCCACCTTAAAAGGGTTCATCCGAAGGCCCCATTGTTTTCATACCGAAATAATTTGGCGCAGTCTGCGGGGAAGATAAAAAAAATCAAGCCAAAAAATCCATCACTCCTAGTAAAAAGCATGACTAATAGCGGCAAAAGCACCAAAAGTGCTAGAAAGAGGGCCGGTCTTACCCCCTCGAGGAAGAATTGAGACATAATCACGGTGAGGGAACATCAGCCGATTTCCCCGTCACCAGAGCCATCCTCTCCTTCCTCAAGAGCTCCCAATTCTCAGGAAAGGCAGGCTTCAAGAGCTCCTAATTCTCAAGAAAGGCAGGCTTCAAGAGCTCCCAATTCTCAGGAAAGGGAGGCTTCAAAGGACTCATCCTCTCACCAAACTCGGCAGCCAACAGTTTCGCCTAGGCCAAGTGGGTCTAATGCGAGGTGTCCTCCGCCACACAACAGCTGGCAATCTCGGTCCCAGCCGAAAAAAACCGCTCCTTTGGGGCCCTTTACGGAGGAAGTGGCTAGGACCGTAGCGGTCTGCATGGAGTTCCTTAAGGCCCAAGGGGGTCAACTCCATCCAACACCTCCTGAGTCTCTATCTCTTCAGCCGAGACACCTGAGAAGGAGAATTGGTTAAGAGAAGGACGGACAAGTTCCATCCTACAAGGAGCTCGGGAAAAAGTGGCAGGAGGACACATGGAAGACTAGTAAGGAAAGGAAGAAGAACCCACAATTCTTCCACCATTCCGGAACTCGGGGTTCAATGAGTTTCCGGAGCAGCAATACTACCTCCACGTACACGGAGTCTGCTCGCCGAAGCGTTCATGAACGCTTAGGCTCGAGGGAGGTGAACGTGCATAACCGCCTCACCTTCCTAGAAAAGACCGGGTCATACCCCGATTTGTCTCGGCCAGGGACAAAAACCACTTTCACCTCTCTGAGAGGGAGAAGCGAGGTCCCATCGGCAAAGCAAAAGGGGAAGTCCGTAATGGTCCCTAAGTTGGATATTGGAAGAGCATGTGCCAACGGTGAAAATACCGGTGCACATTACTTATGATGGCACCTCGGACCCAAAGGATCGCATTGCCTCTTACGAGGGGCACATGTATCTTAACCCTAGGTCCGAGGCTACCTGGTGCAAGTACTTTCCAACAACCCTCAAAAGTGTTGCACAATCGTGGATCACCAAAGGGGTAAAAGAAGGCTCTATCTCTGGTTGGAAAGACCTTTCCAACAAATTCAAGAGCAAATTTTCTACGGCTAACCGCCGAGAAAAGACAACTGCAGAACTGATGAGTCTGCAGCAAGCCGAGGATGAGAGCCTCCACGATTATCTGACTCGCTTCAGCAACGAGTCATCCAGAATTACAAGTCTGGACCAGGGCCTCGCCGTATTTGCATTACGAAATGGTCTGCAAGTCGGAAAGTTCCTTGACTTGAAGGTCATGCATCCCCCCCAGACCTTGGAGGAAGCTTTGGATGCCTCGGATAAGTTCATCCGAGCCGAAGAATGGAACAAGGTGAAATTTAAGTCCCAATTAGGGGATGGGAAAGCGAAAGGACAACTGTCCGAGGGCCCTATGTGGAGCCAAAGGCCTTAGAACCGTCCTCGGCTGCCGAGCCAAAGAAAGAAAAGTTTGTTCCCTATGCGGGGAGATACGATTCATACACTCCCCTTACTCTTCCTCACGCTAAAATTTACATCACGACAAGAGACGAGGGGAGATTCAAGAAGCCTCGGCCGCTGCCACCGTGGCATCAGCAAAAGGGCAAAGACCGATGGTGTGAGTTCCATGAGTCTCCTGAACATCGCACCGAGGATTGCCTCCAGCTGAAGGACCAGATCGAAGATCTGGTTCAAAAAAACTATTTGAAGAAATACCTCACGGATTGCCGCGAGGAGAAAAAAGCCGAGAGAGACTCTCAGCAAGATTTGGACTTTCTCCAGAAAAAAGGCAAACAGCAGGACAAGGACATCCTTGACATCCTTGCCATTTTCGAGGGAACTTCTCGAAGCGTAGTAAAATGCCATTTAAGGGGTTTAACCCACCAAGTAAATCATGCCAAACTTCGAGCGCCTCAGTCTCCGGTGCCGAACATCCTATTCACAACCGAACACTGTCAGGGGGTGGTGTACCCCCATGATGACCCATTGGTGATAGTGATGGGCATCGCAAACTGCAACGTCTGGCGAACCCTCGTCGATGGCGGCAGCGGGGCGAATATCCTCTTTCGGGGAGCATTTGACCAACTGAAGATGGAAGCCAAGCACCTTAGTCCGGTACCCTACCCGGTATCCGGATTCAATGGCTCTTCATCATATCCAGATGGGAAGACCCTTCTTCCTGTCACCGTCGACAAAGGCCGAGCAGTGCGGTGCATCATGGTTGAATTTCTGGTCGTGGATGCCCCCTCTGTGTATAACGTGATCATGGGGAGACCCCTCATTCACGATATCCAAGGAGTTGTCTTGACGTACCATCAAACGATGATATATGTTTCGGTCGAGGGACACTCCGAAAGAATAAAGGGCAGCCAAAAGGAAGCCCGAAGATGTAACCACCTCAAGCCATCCAAGGGTCGCCGCAGCGACCAAGATGATGAGGAGGAGAAAGAGCGAGACCACAGTGCGAAAAATCCTAGAGGCTTAAGGGCTTCGGCCCAAGGAACCCCAGCCAAAGAAAAATCTATAAGGGGCGAAAAGGCTAGTTCTTCGTCTGAGCCGAAAGACTCAGAAGATCAGCCGAAGTCTAGAAGGCATGCTGATATTGACAGCAAGCCGAAATCCGAAGAATCTAGTGCCAAAGCTATGGAACTGGATAATTAGACAGTGTCAATAAAGTAGGCCAAAGGAAATTCTAAAAGGTGTGTCAACATCGGACTGGGACTTGAACAAAACGTTCATGTTGAACTAATCCAACTCCTTCGAGACAACAAAGATGTGTTCGCGTTCTCGGAAGAAGAAATGCCTGGGATTGATCCGAACCTCATTTCTCATAAGCTTAATGTCGACCCAGCATGTCGACCCATTAAGCAGAAAAAGCGGAACTACTCCGCGCAGAAGAACCAAGACATCGCAGCCAAAGTAATAAAACTCTTGGATGCTGGGTTCATCAAACCTTGTCAGCATCCGGAATGGCTGGCTAATGTGGTGATGGTTCAGAAGGCCAATGGTAGCTGGAGAATGTGCGTTGACTTCACGGATCTGAATAAGGCATGTCCGAAAGACTTCTATCCCTTGCCGAGGATGAATCAGCTAGTCGACTCGACAAGCGGCCATGCCCTGCTCAGCTTCATGGACGCATTTTCTGGATACCATCAGATCTTCATGCACCCCGATGACTGGGAAAAAAACGGCATTCGTGACAAGTTCTGGGGTGTACATTTACAAAAGGATGCCCTTCGGATTGAAAAATGCGAGGGTAACATATTAAAGGCTGGTTGATCAGGTGTTCGCCGAGCAAAAACGCCATAATATGGAAGTCTATGTTGACGATTCCATCGTCAAAAGCAAAGAATAAAAGGACCATGTTACGGACCTGGCTGAAACCTTCCCCACCCTTTGCAAACATCAAATGAAGCTAAATTCGAAGAAGTGTGTCTTCGGCGTGAGGTCAGGAAAGTTCCTCGGCTTCATGGTCAGTAAAAGGGGGATTGATGCTAATCCTGCCAAAGTACAAGCAGCTCTTGATCTCCCTGAGTCAAAGACAAGGAGGGATGTTCAGCGCCTAACTGGCAGAATGGCTGCTTTGTCCAGGTTTATCTCAAAAGCCTCGGACAAAGGGCTACCTTTCTGCAAAGCGCTCAAACTCCCAAAATCAAAAGAGCTCAGCTGGGGATACGAGCAAAAGCAAGCCTTTCAGCAACTCCGCGAGCACTTGGCTCAACTCCCAACGTTGGCAAGACCAGCTGAATGAGAAACTCTGTACTTATATGTGGCGGTAAGTCCGGCCACAGAAAGTGCGGTGTTTCTAAGGGAAGAAGAAAAAGTTCAGCAGCCGATCTATTTTGTCAGCCATACTCTGACAGATGCCGAGACACGCTACCCCCTACTTGAAATACGTAGTAGTGGTAGCCGCTCGAAAGTTAAGACCCTACTTTGATTCCCATCAAATAGTAGTCATACTGATCAGCCGCTAGAAAAAGTCCTCGGCAAGGTGGAAAAATCCGGTAGACTAACGAAGTGGGCTTTCGAGCTCACCGAGTTCAGTATGAAGCAGCCGAGGGCAGCTATCAAGGCGCAAGCCTTAGCAGATTTCCTAGCCGAGTGTTCTTATCAAGAGGCGCTTGACGAGGGAAAGAAAATTTGGACCGTTTTCACGGATGGATCTTCCACCGTGAATGGTTTGGGGGCAGGGGTCGTCACAGCCTCTCCCGAAGGCAAATCCTTCCAATATGCACTAAAATTCTCGTTCAAAGCCTCGAACAACGAAGCCAAATATGAAGCAGCAATTGCTGGCTTGGAGTTGTGCATAGCGTTGGAAGCCGAGCACGTCTGTTTAAAAACAGATTCTCAGCTCGTCGTAAATCAGATCCGAGGTGAATATGAAGCCAAAGAGCCTTCAATAGTGGCTTACCTCGCAAAGATCATGACGGTTATTGCAAAGCTGAGATCTTTCGAAGTGGAGCTAATCTCAAGGGGTCAAAATGCACAAGCCGATGCGCTCTCTAAACTTACAAGTTCAACTTTAACTGAGTTGAACTGAGCTGTATATGTGGAGGTGCGCCAAGAAAGAAGTGTGGCCGATGTAATGAACATATGCTGCGTCGCACGTGAATCAATCTGGATGGATCCCATACTGGCTTAGAAACTTCGGGACGAGCTCCTCGAGGACCTAAAGTTAGCCTCTAAGATAAAAACAATCAGCTCAAGATTCGTTGTCTTCAGGGAAAAACTTCTGAAAAAGTCCTTTTTTTCCCCGCTATTGAAATGCGTGGGTCCAACAGATGCAGATTACATCCTTTGGGAAATTCATCTCGGCATCTGCGGAAACCACATAGGAGGAAGAACCTTATCCCATAAAGCACTAAGGGCTGGGTACTATTGGCCAACCATGATCGCGGACGCAAAGGACCTGGTCTGGAAATGTGAGAAATGCCAAAAATTCGCACCGGTTATCCATCGGCCATCTCAAGATCTTCAGCCAATCCTGAATCCTCTTCCATTTGCTCAATGGGGATTGGATATATTGGGACCATTTCCTGAAGCTCCTTATCAAAAATAAATGGTTAATAGTCGGCATAGATTATTTCAGCAAATGGATCAAAGCCGAGGCTGCTTCAAACATTACAGAACAAACTGCCAGGAATTCAAATGGCAAAACATAATCACTCGTTTCGGGATTTCGAAGGTTTTTATCTTTGATCATGGAAGGCAATTTGATAATCTGCCGCTGAAGCGGTACACAGACTGGTTCGACATCAAACTGGCATATTTTGCAGTTTGTCATCCACAGGGTAATGGTCAGACCTTTACAGTAATTCAAACAACATAGAATTACTTAAAAATTTGTGGGAACAAAACCTAAATTGTGTTTAATAACAATTAATTATACAACAATCCAAATACTATTCAAAGTATTACAACCAAACACCAAAATACAATGTATTTCAGAAAAAACACAAATAAAAACACTAATGTAAAGAATCCAAACTTGCCTCAACACCAAGCCTTGAAGATGAACATGAACATGAGAAAACTTGTGACCACTTGAGTCTCAAACCTTGATACACTGTCAAAGGCGTGTATACACTTTCCTAAAGAGGTTTATTTCCCCCACACGGTGCTTGGGTTAAACCGGAAATCCTCTTTGAGATACAATTGACAGCAAACTTCGTTCTTAGCATTAAAATCGAAGAACAATGAATAAATCACTATAAAGGCTAAATTTCAAGAGTTTTCTCACAATAGTTTGCAAGAAAATTGAGAGAAAATGTGGAGAATTTCTTTTGGAGAGGAAGAGAGAAAAAATGTTCTGTCTTTTTCTTTTTTTCACGAAATCCTCTTTTATAAGAGAAACAACCGTCAGCAAATAACCGCAGAACTGGGAAGTAGCTTGGGCGCGACTCCCAAAAAGCCTGCAAATTTAAATTGAAGACAATAAGGGGCGCGGTTTTAGCGCTGCCTGGTGGTGCGGGCGCGCCACCAGTTGTCATCCGTATGCTGATTTCCAGAGAGGTGCGCGATTTAGGCAAGCTCTCATCGCGGCCGCGCCTACCTAGCGCAGACGCGCTTTACATGGGCGCGGGTGCGTACCATACAACACTCTAAATCATCAACAATCCTCCCCCATTTAGAGTGTTCCTTTAAAACATTCTCCACTTCTATCAATTTAGCCACATCTCATGCATCAATGCCAATGTCCCTACGGAGTGAATTGACACCTAGTACAACACACTTAACGATGATCATATCCCATGATTTCCATATGGATTGAATCACACGGATATATCCAACCATTCGAAGATGAAGTACACATAAGAAAAATCGAATTAATCATCACTTGACACTTTTAAACAGCCATGGGTCCGTATCTTTCATAAGTTCATCAAAGTCTATATGTCCATTTAGACTTCTTGAAGCGGCTAAACTTCTAACTTATATAGGTAGATTCTCATATACGTAATAGTGCCCTTGTGATAAGACACCTTCATTTAGAGCTTCTCAACTCTAAATCTTTGAGAACTTTAAATAGACGCTACCTTTAACATCACAAGTATCATAGCAATATGGGTCACAAACATTGCTAACAAACAACAAAAATGCAATTCAACCACATTGAATCTAAGACTTAATGTTTCTTCAAGCGTTAGATTGGGTTTCACAAATTCGTGTGTTTGGACATAAACCCATTCCATTCATAGCAAATATGATGGAATGCCTTGGCATTGCTTTAGTCTAATAATCTGCCAAATTTAACTTCGTTGGAACATAGTCAAGACTTATGACCCCATCATTGATAAGCTCTTTCACTAGGCTATGTCTAAGTGAAATATGCCGAGACTTACCATTATACACTTGAATATAGGCCTTTATCAACGCCGAATAAGAATCACAATGGATTGCCACCGGTGGCATTGGCTTTGGCAATAAAGGCAATTCTATCATGAGATTCCTCAACCCCTCAGCTTCCTTACTAGCTGAAGCAAGAGCAATAAACTTCGCTGCCATAGTAGAGTTCGCAATGCAAGTTTGTTTCTTGAAAGACCATGAAATGGCACCTCCCCCAAACATGAATACCCAACCACTAATAGAAGAGTCATCCTCTTTGTAAGTGATCCAAGTTGCATCAGAATACCCTTCTAAGACTGAAGGAAATCAACTATAAGATAGACTATGGTCTAACGTACCCTTAAGGTACCTCACGACCCTCCGAATTGCAAACCAATGCTCTACACCCGGGTTACTAGTAAATCTACTAAGTTTCCCTACAGCCAATGTAATATCCGGTCTTGTACTAGTCATGGCATACATCAAGGATCCAATTATCCTTAAATATTCCAATTGGGAAACCGTTTTCCCCGAATTCTTAACCAATTTAACATTAGGTTCCATGGGTGTTCACGGGACATTTACCAAACATATTAAACCGTTCGATAATCTTCTCAATATAATGAGATGACTTAAAATAAGTCTACCATTGTCCCTAACAATCTTGATGCCTAAAATGACATCTGCCTCCCCCAAATCCTTCATCAGATGAGATGAGAATAAGGATTCCTTGGTCAATTCTACTTGTTGTAGACTTGTACCAAAGATAAGCATATCATCAACATATAGACAAATGATGACACCACGACCTTTGTCATCAAATTTGCTATATATAC